CTCTAAAAAGGCTCTAAAAGAGAGGTAAAGCAGTATAGTAATTTTCTTTAATGCTATAATTAGTTAGTAGACTAAGCTATAGAATGTTAGGTGCATAATAATACCTATATAGTAAAGAATTAGATAATAGCTAAAAAAGAAACTAATAACATTAACTAAACTATATAAGTAAAGTAAGTAAACACTTATTACTATAAATAATTAATTTGCTATATTAATAATAACTATACTACTAGTTACTACTTAACAAAAACATTATAATAAAGGTATTATATTAAGTTTTTAGTTTAGTTTTTTTTTAGTAATAGAATTTTTTTATTAACAAGTTATACTTTATTATATTTTATTTAAATTAGTTTTAAATTAGGTTTAAATACTTTCTACATACTATAAATAAAAGCTATTAGCCTATAAAAGAGGGGGGTAGTGTAATAATTCTTACAAATTATTCTATTTTAGGTTGCTTAGATCCTATCTAAAGGGTCCCTATATGTGAAGCTATGTGAGGCACTAGAGGCATGAGGAACTGCATTGTATTTATTGCTAGAGGAGTCCTTTGCAGGAGTCTATATATATGCGAAATAAGTGGGTGAGTCGTGGCAACAGACTGTGCTGAGATGCATACGACTATGGTGCCGACGCATGATCATCGTGTGACGACACATCCGACTATCGTGCGACTATGGTGACGACGCATCCGAGTGTCACCACTGCAAACACTATATCAGCCCTAACTATAACTTAACTCTGTCCCCTGCAGTTACTTCTATTTACTTAAGTACTTAGTTGCACCTTTTTTTTTTTAGCTAGCTTAGTAGTTTTCTAATATCCTTTATACAAGGCCTATAGGTGCTAATGGAAATTCCCAGGTTCTAAGTCCCCACGCACTCCCATATGACTCTGAGTGGATTCCCACCGCATTTGAACCCATTGTCTTGCCTGTGCCGTTACGATATACTCCTATACTGTCTTTTATTAGAGCGTTTCCCTTGCCCTCTATACTAGCACTAAGGCAAACCACAATTGGCTGCTCCTCCTACTCCCCCTCTTACGTAGGTGCGACGGACTGTACACCCGGACGGTCCAGCCGACTCTCTTGTTCTCGCTATAGACGACTCACAAGCTGTCACCTAACAACTAGGCCTAAGTACTGGACAGTACAAGACAATCTGTAATTATAAATCACTAGACGTCTTAGCTAAGAGGTAAGTATTATAACAGAGCTATACTTAGAGACTGTAATAACCTAATTCTAGAGTAGATTTTCTTTATTATACTAGTTTAAAAGGTAATTGCTAGCTTAGAAGATAATAAAGAGCGGAATAGCCTACCCTTTAGTATTAATACTCTAGACAGTTGTTGTCTACTTCTAGTTATCTAGTTAGACTGCCTTTAGCTATTCTTATCTCTCTAAAGCTATAACAACTACTCTAGTAGATATCTAGCCTATTATAAAGCCTATCTAGTTAAAGTTGTATATATTGTTATTTTAGATTCTATACTTAGCTTTAATATTCTCTATAAGGCTAAACTAGCTCTAAATTACTTTAGAATTCTTATAGAAAGCTTTTTTATAGTTATAGATATACTTAAACTTTACTTTAAGCTCTAGATAATACTTAACAAATGTACTAAACTAGTTTATACTAAAATACCCTAGATTACACGTAGCATGTAAAGAATTAGCTATATTAGCTACAGCTACTAGCTAAGAGGGAAATCTTTATATATCTAGCTTAAGTATATACTTAATAATTACCTACTTTTTATTATTGTCTAGCCTTTATAAGTTAGCTATAGAATTAGCCTATAAAAGTTATCTAGTGCGTTAGTTGTTTTTTATCTTTTAAAAAAACTCTATAAGTAGCTATAGCATATTGCTTAGAAGGTATTATATTCTATTTAAGAGCCTAAAGTGTAAGCTATATCTAATATTCTATTAACACATCTAAGTAGTGTTATTAGAAATGCATTAGTGTAGAACAAGTAGTATAGTATAGTTTTAGCAAAAGTAAGTAACTTAGGTATATAAGCAACTTGTCTATAGGGTACGTTAAGTAAGTTATTACTATTATAGTTATAACTAATTAGTAAATAATATATAATTATATATACGTTAAGTTTAAACTATTTTCTAATAACTTAACATACCTCACAGGTGTGCTAGCTACACAGGTATGCTAGCTACTCTGCTAAGACCCTACTAAAACTATTCTAACATTATAATGCCTTAACAACAATACTAATTAGAATCTTTAAAAGAGGCTAGAGAATAGCTTACGCTTTAGGCTGTTAAATAAGACATAATAATTACTCTATAACACGCTGCAGCCTTTTACAACATCTTTTATACAACACTAAGCAATTAACACGCTAGACAGCCTTTATAAGCAGATTACACGCCTAAATTAAAAAAGGTAAGTAAAACTAAAAAAGTAATTATTTAGTATATACTTAACTTAGCTATGTAAAGATTTCTTTTTTCGCTTATAACTATTACTAATATAGCTAATTCTTTACACACTAAGTGTAATCTAAGCTATGTTAGTATAAACTATCCTAGTATATTATTAAACACTAACTAAAGCTTAAAGTTAAATTTAATTATAAGTATAATTATAAAAGAGGTTTTATAAAGACTTTAAGGTTATCTAAAACTAGTTCTAGCTACTAGCTAATATAAAAGCTAAGTATAGTATTTAAAATAAAAATATAAATAACTTTAATAAAATAAGCTTTATAATAAGTTAGATATTAACTAAAGTAGTTAAATAGCTTTAAAGTAGTTAATATAGCTTTAAAGTAATATAAATAGCTAAAGTTAGTCTAATAAAGTAAGTAAAAGTAAATAATAGTTATTTAGAGCATCAACACTACAAAGTAAGCTATTCTACTTTTTATTATTTTTAAGGGCTGCTACAACCCCTCTACTTTAGTACAAGAAGAATTCTATACTCTAGGACTAGGTTATTACAGTCTTTAAAAATAGCTAGATAATAAATAAGCTTAGTTTTTAGTAGCTAGAGCACTTTAACACCTATATAAAAAAGTGTACTATTAGAGAGTACTAGCTACTTGTTATTAATAGCTGTAAAAGCTATAACACTTTTAAGTTCTAATAATACTATAAAAAAATTATTACTTTTTATATACTTTTTTACTTATTTTACGTTTTATAGCTACTTAGTGTAGGTTGTTTTATGTCTTTAAAGAAAGTATATAAGTGCTAAGCTAAATTTTTTACATATAACTAAATTACTTATATTATAAAGCTTAAGTTTTTGCTATGCTTTAAACACACTTTTACTACTATAATTACTTTTAGTAATATCTAAGAGAAGTTTTAAAGCGCTAAATTAGTCTTATTTAACTTAAAATAAGTTATAATAGGGTTTAAAGTTTAGTTACACACTTTATTACTACTTTTTACTAATAAAAAGCCTTAGTAATTATAAACTCTAGGTAATACTTTAAAATTTAAGTTAAAATTAACACTAGTTTAATAAAAAATTTAAAAGCATGTAGATAGCTTACTAAGTTTAATAGTAAAGGCTTTTAAAAAGGTCTTAAAAGTGTAGTAATAGTTATATATAAACTTATATTAGCATAAAAGGGCATTACTAAGCTTAAAGCAGTAAATAAAGCTACTACATGTTATAAATTACATAAAAAAGTAGATATAGTATAAAATTACTTTTATAGTTAAAAATAGCCTACACTTAACATTTTTAAAAGAGTTTAAAGCGTGTAAAAATAGAAAAAAGAAAGAAAAAAGTGCACACTAAGATAAAGCATAAGCTTATAAGGCACTCTAAATAGTGCTATAAAGTAGAATATATCTTACACATGTAACGATTCTCGTTCCATCTCGGGTCGCCCGGAACCCATCCGAAGGGTCCCCGTATCGGCTCCGACCCTGGCTCGACCCTGACTCGACCTGGCCCCGACCCCTGCTGTTACCCCTATTCCCTCATGTATTTAGTCGCACCTCGCCCCCATAGCTAGCTCAGTAGTTTTCTGATATCCTTTTGTACAAGGCCTATAGGTGTCAATGGCATTCCCAGGTTCAGAGTCCCCACGCACTCCCATATGCCTCTGAGTGGATTCCCACCGCATTCGGACCCATTGTCTTGCCTGCGCCGTTACAACACACATGTAAAAATAGAGTAGAGGTAGTACTAGAATAGCATATAATATAATATTATACCTTGTAGGACTAAATAGTGCTAATATAGGTTAGAATAGATTGTAGATTTAGAAGAGTCTTAGCAGAGTAGCCGGTACACCTGTGAAGTATGTTATAGATTTTTTTTTTTTTTTTACTAATTCTACTTTTAACTAAATCTATAATTAATACTTTAAAGTTTACTTAATAAGAGCTTATAGCTATTTAATACTAACTTTACTAGTAAAATACTTTAGCTACTATTAGTGTTTAAATTTGCTATCGTATATAAAATAAATAACGTAGAATAGAAATAGAAATATTAAGATATACACTATAAAATATATGTTAAACTCTTAATACCTATATAATTACTAAGTAATAAAGAAAATGTAATAGAATTAAATACCTTTAACTATTTGCTTAGAAGAGTTTAATAAGAGTTTTATAATATTATTCCAAGCTCTTACCTCTGTTATACCTACAATATAGGCAGGTAATAACCTTTGGTTTTGATTTTAACTGGAAATGATAGTTAGACTGCTAGCAGTACTAGAATACACTACCACTTTATCTACACTACCCGCTGCGCCGAAGTCTTCGGTAAATCCGTCTTCGAAATCGTCTCCACCGAAACCTCCATATCCCTCCTTCTAGAAATCCCCTCTTTTCCATAATCCAAGTTAACTAGCTCAGTTACATCATCATTCGAGAGCCGACTGAAGTCCTTCCGGTGAGGATTCCGCCCACTGCTTCCAAAGGTCCTGATTGGGCCGCGAGCAGGAGCCCCCTTCATCTTCGAGGACCCGCTGGATAAGAAGTATTCCTTCACGCGAGGTGGCAATAGAAGGGGGAATAGTGGCGCGATGGTTGGGAAGTTGGTGGCTATGAGGCCTAGCCATAGCTCGAGGAGAGATTGGAGTGCTACGATGTAGAGGTCGTAAGAAAAGTCTGCGGGTTTGTGGAGAGCTTGCACAGTTGTGCCGAGGCGCCAGAGCATGATAGCAACGATTCTATACGAGCGCGTTAGCGGAAGCCTTTCCTTATGTGTAACTGGGGCAGATAGCGTACGAGAGACCGAGACTGAACATGGCGCTTACGCCAACCTTCTTTCGCATTGGCATTTTAATTTTCCATACCACCGGTAGCGGCATCGCAACAATGGTAACGTCGAGCAGCACGTTGAGCGAGAGCGCGGCAAGCGAGTGGTACATCCATGGCCAGCATTTCTCCTCGTGGAGGAGGGGATCCCAGCTCGCCCTCACTGGATTGCAGGCTGCGATGAAGATGGGAATTAAGACAATGGCGTAAACGACACAGCCTGCCATCACAACCCAAATCACCCTCTTGAACTTGGGGCCCTGAAATATGACCAGGTAGAGTTTCAAGACTGCTAGTTTGCAGCCGACCGTGGATAGTGTCCATGTGACATTGCCCGCAAACTCTAACTATGAAGGTGTGGCTTGGTTAGTGCATATGCAGCAAGCATAGGACCGAAGGATCCTCTCGACATGACGGAGTTCTAACCGACTGGAATGGGTGGTATCGTACCTTGAACTGGATCGATAGCTCTCTCAATGTCAACTCCGTCGCATGGTATCCAAGGCCGTTGTGAATAGCTGCGATGCAAGGTCAACCGTGCTCTATCCGTAATGTCGGAATCTACGTACCCCAGAAAGTGCAACCCTCCAAAGCCAGCATGTTAATGGTAGCAAAGACTACCAAATAGTCGTCCGCTCTCAATGCTCGCTTCTGCCTTCTCAGCGCCAGAACCCGAAGGGTAAGGCTGACGAAAACAAGAGCTGTAAAGACAGAGATCCATATTACCAAATATCTTCCACGCGAACTGAGCATTTTGCGGAAAGAAAATCAGAAGAGCCTCAAGCGATGATGCGTGGATGCAAGATGACTTTTGTGGCAACTTATAGGCGCTGGGACGATTTTACGTGCCGCGAGTCCTATGAGCTTACTTTCTGCTCTACCAATGACTTCTTCTGGCTGGCGATGAAATTAGCACAGGGTCTCAAAGGACGAGTGGAGGATCCGGCAATGGGAGTGGTGCCGGGCAAGGCTGTGGACGAACGAGCTCTCGGCATGAGGAAGTAGTCTTACCTGCGTTCGCAAAGTCGGCTCCTGTCAACCCGAAGAGGAGGGCTGCGCTAGGTGGAGGGCCAAAAGTGATTGCTGATCCTCCAGTTTGAAACCTGTGTGTCTGGGTGCGGCAACAACGGTTTCTGGGGCTGCGAGTTGAGTTGTCTTTCTTCCCACCTCTAGCTATCCTTTCTTTTGTAGGGTATGCAAGCAGTACATGTAATGCGTTCAGCGCTTCTTCAGGGTTTAGAAAACCTCTTTTCGTAGCGAGAAAACGCCGTTACCCTATTCTTCTATGTGTCCAATTACCTAGTGTTAACCTGCATTCTATTGATCAACTAATCTAGCTTACATGCCGCCCCGTTCGGGACCTAACAATGCGTTTTTAGATGAGTTGACATGAAGTACGGAAATTTGGTGTTCTAGAATAGCAAGCCACCCTCGTTAGTATGCAGATGGTTGTTATAGATATGCGGGGCCGGGAATCCAAGCTTGATGTGCTTACGATTCCCTCAATCTTCGAGTCTCTCAGGGGCATGCTTGTGCGCAAATGCTAAAACAATACGATGTTACATTAGATAGATTGAATATGTTCTAGGGCATGAAGTTGTCACTTTATCTGCATTCCAACGCCGAGAACTTCGTGGTAAGGGGCAGTTTTACTAAACTTACCGTCGTCATCTGCAAGCTTACCCACTTGACCTGCTGTGCTCCAAGGGCAGAGATTCCCTGCAGCCACCTTCAGCCTTGTTGCCTTCTTGTTAGACACCCATGTAACCGTTCGCACGGCAATGCTCAATTTGCACTCTGCAGCGCGCTCGGGCCCCGTTTGGCTTTCGACGATAGTGCGCATTCATCGCCCACTCGGGAGAAGCTAAAGAGGTTAGGTATCCTAGGTAACATTCTGTGCGAGTGTAGATTTAAAGTGCATATCTTGCGAGAGCTCAACTGTGATCTGTGAAATAATCCTTCCTTACCCTTCGATCTACAACCGGTAAGCTTCGTCGAAACCACACGCGTCGGAAAGGTGAAGGCGTCGACATGCCCTCTTCTTCGTTCAGACATTGTGCGGTCGCCGACCCCAACCACGGCATTTCGAGCAAGAAGAGACCAGCGGCTCGTATTCCAAATATCCTTACCATTCTGTTCAGCCAGGCATCGCAAGCTCGGACACATCTCTACAACTTATACCTCATCACCCTGGACGACACTCCGACGTTTGTGGTGCCGAACACTGTCTTCGGCGTTTCGAGTGCCTTCACCAGCTCCATGGTCAAAGCCACCGACTCCGCGGCACTTGTGTCGCTCGGTTTTTCCTGGAGGCTCTGTTTCGTTGTGCTACAGACTGTCATCTTTAATTGGACGAACCTGCTTATCTTCGATCTTGCCAATCAACGGCAGAGCGGCGAGGAGGACGCCCACAACAAGCCTTGGCGGCCCATTCCAAGCGGGCGGCTAACCAGCATCCAAATGCGGCATCTACTAATGGCCGCGATCCCGGTCGTTCTCACCTACAATCACTTCGTGCTCAGTGTCGGGACGGAGAGCTGCCTCCTGGCGATACTGACGTGGCTCTACAACGATCTAGGGGGCGGCGACGACAACTGGCTCATCCGGAATCTCATCATCGGTTGCGCTTTCGGGGTGTATAATCTGGGCTCCCTTAAAGTGGCCGCTACCACGTCCGCTGCGGTTAGTGGGGCCTTTGCCGGTCTGATAGTGCGTCCATCGTACTACCCAGCATATGCACCTACAGTCTCACCAATGGGATATTACTGGACAGCGATTATCAGCCTCGTAATTTTTACTACCATGCATGTGCAGGACCTGAAAGATATCAAGGGCGACGCAGCAAGGGGGAGGCGCTCGGCCCCGATTGTGCTCGGTCGCCGAGCCGCAGGCTGGACCATTGCCGTTCCCGTCGTTTTGTGGTCTAGTGTCTGCCCGCTGTTTTGGCGTTCACCGGCATGGGTTGCGTGGGTCCCCGCAGCTGTAGGGATGTGCGTTGCCTGGAGATGTGTGCGTGTTAGCGGGGAATGGACGGATCGGAGGACGTGGCAGCTGTGGTGTGCATGGACAGCGGTGCTATATGTTCTTCCGCCGCTCTCTGCTTGATTTTAGATGTTTCTAAATTGGTAATCGCCTTATCGGGCATGCGCACCGCCAGACTAAGCTCAAAATGCTGAAGCTTAAGTTCGCTGCGGCCCGGGCCGCGTCAATCTTGGCACGTCATGCCTGCAAGCGCTACCGCAAAACCGTGATTAATCAGCCATCGCACTGTTTCACACCTCCGCCACATTTGATCGAAACTTCAACACCGTATAACTCGATCAATATGGGGGATATTGAGGCTGCTTCTGCTTAGTCACAATCGCTTGTGACTGGAGAAAACCTAATCATACTCGGATTGCTGCGCAGTATTGTGTTAATCGTACAACGCCGTCAAAGCGGCATCGGGGTGTTCGGGGCTCCGGCAACAAGGATGTCGAAAATCGACAACTGCTCAACACAACCTAAGAGAAGCAGGCAAATGCTGAGTTGAACTTTATTAGCTACCACTAAATCGAGCTTCTATTCAGATGGGCCTCTAGTATAGAGGCTGTCCAGAGCACCCTAGATAGTTGGCTTACGTAACTATTTTGCTATAACGATATTTCGATATAACGATATAATCCTAGCTCCCCGTTTGTATCGCGCCATGGAGAGTTGACTGTATTAGTCAATTGCGGCGCGGTCCGCACCCTATTTTAGCCCGTCTGCATCTATTATATGCAAAAATCGGGAAATTTCTTAGCGTTCCTCAGATCTTTTTTTCCCCTACTAAAATTGTAGAGGAGATTAGGGTCTTAATAAAATTCCTAATATATTAACAAATAGCAATTAGATTAGCTCTAGGTAAGTTAAAGCCTTTAGTTTGTATAGAGAAGCGCCTATACTAACTTTTTTAGGAGTAACAACGCGTTTGTTTGCAATGTATCGCGCTTATAGCGTCTCCATCCTTCCTAGCTAGTCCTAATCACCCTAATATCTTAAACTACGCACCTAAGTGTAAGGACGGAGCTCTGTACCATTGCGCCAATACAACTAAAAAGGTGCGAATAATTAACTAACAGTTAATTGTTGCGTACAGAATAGTATATGTACTCGTCGCACGTAAGCACCATCTCGGCCTTACACTAAGGGCTTAATAATTGCGTTTGTATAAACATCTGTTAGTTTCTCCTGCTTAGATAGTCTAGAACTACAATTGCTAATTATAAGAGTTGTTCTCTCTACATAGTTTATAATGTGGAGAACAATCTTAAGGCTTATAGCAGTGTCTATAAGCCACCTACTATAAAGCTTAGGAGACCTTCTAAAATTAGTAATAAAGACAGCAAAGCTCTGTTTAAGGAGTTGATCCGCAGCAGGTGGAGATACTAGGACAAACAAGCCTATTGGCTATGCAATTTTGGTGAGGGAAAAAAAGATCCGAGGAACGCCAAGACATTTCCCGATTTTTGCACATAATAGATGTCAGCACACCCATACTAATCTGACGTCGTGCATGGAAATGAAGCCAGCATCGCACACGCCGCTTTGTGCAGAATTCCCCCTCAATCGGAATGGTATTGTCCCGGGGTTCCTTGCTGACTCTCCGGTCTACCTGCCTGCCCCTCACTCCCTTCTAGTAACGATTGGTTCCTCAAGGGCGCACACCATCCTAAACCGACGATCAATAAACTTCTCTTCATCGTCTTGCATCTTTTCCTGAACCTCTTCGTGATAGAACACCTCACAAAACCTCTCAAAAGCCGTTTTGTCCTCCCAAACCATGACTGTCATAGAATCATAGGGGAAATCTGAGGGTTGGCCTCTGTAAAGCGTAGGTAGCCAAAGCTCATTGTTGGAATCGCTTGAAATTGACGTTGGAGCCATGTCATCGCTCCGAGTACGAGTACGTGTTACGTAGTTGCGAGTGTGCGTGATGGGAAACGTGTCTCCGACGAGGGATTTCAGGAGCGGAACGTGCACTGTGTCGTAATGGGTCCGGAATTGGGCAGGTGTGAGGCCGGGCTTCCGGTAGATCAGAGCAATGACCGTGTAAGTCATTGCTGTTGACGAAGATGGTTGCGATGTGGGAAGCTGGAACTCAAAGGTTGTAAGATTCTGAGGCGTCAAGAGAAGGAGCCAGAGCAGAGATAATGCAAGCGTATTAGTACTATATGTAAGGTATTACCCAGGTACCCTCCGGATGATTGTTATGTCAGAAATTTCCCCGCCAAATTAATCTAGTGTGCTTTGCACAACCTGAGGTCGGCCGCCTGCTTCCAGCGTTCACTCCCGACACCCGTCCATGTGTAGAAAAGGTCATCGGGGTCGTACTTCCTCTTAATAAACGAAAGACGGCCGTAGTTCTCGCCGTAGAATACCTGCTGCCACTTTGGCTCCCAAGGATCGCCCTCGTTCAGATAAGCGTATCCACCTCCAGGAATCAAGGAGGAGAGGTGCGGCACGATGGTATTTGTCATAAGCTTCTGGTTGACGATATTTTTTTCTCGGGATTGGTAATCGTAGAAGCTGACACAAGACGTCAACTAGGATGTCAATTTGAGGGGGAAGGGTCGCTTACGTTCCAACAACAAGGCTGACAAGAGATTCACGCCAGGCATGGAAAGCGGCATTAGGCACGTGCGGAGTCTTGGACACGTTGAAGGAGACTCCTGAGATCCATGTCCCGTACCCCGCGATATTCTGCAGAGCCTTCCTAAAAGCATGCGTCTTGGTTGTAATCACAGTACGAGGAATAAGTCGACTTCCGATTTGGAACGTTGCCGTAGCAGTCTCGGGGTTCATGGCCTTGTACATAGCGAGGAAGGAAGGGAAATCAGCAGAGTAGTAGGCTGCACGAAAAGGTTAGTGAAGTGCAAACTACAGAATGCTTACCATGACTTACTGTAGTTGATTCCTAGCTTCTTCAACTTGTCAAGGACAGGTTGATGCAGCGCGTCCAATTTCTTCTTGCTCATGCCGACTCCCACAGCTGGGCTCAATATGAATGTGTCGTTGTTGTTTAACCATGTGCTCGTCGCACCGGCATCGAGAACCTTGGGAAGCCCGGAAATGTACGCTTCGATGCCGTCGAAGAACTTATCTTGAGATATGCCCGCGGCAGAGAAAGTAAGGTTTGCCCCAGCTGTCAGGCCATCCGGATGCGCCTTAACCGTGAGCGACAGTACTGCAGCATATGTTCCTCCACCGCCCCCGGAAAGTGCCCAGTAGAGATCCGCGTTCTCATCCGGAGAGGCTGTCAGAATCTCACCATCTGCCGTGACGACTTCCCATTCTAGAGCTTGGTCTGCCCCAAGACCAAACTTCGATACCGACAATCCATGGCCACCACCCTGGGTGTATCCTCCCGCCATCCCGACGGTCGGACAAGTTCCGCCAACTGTGACTAGACCCGCGTCGTGAGCTGCTTTGAACGCATCCATGAACTGGACGCCTGCCCCGACCTTCAGTGCTTTCCCACTGTAACCGTCCGACTCATAGTCCAGCACCTCGGTATCCTTCATATGATGCGTCCAGATGGCGATTGCACCGGCCCCAGTCGACTTCCCGAGCCAGTCGTGTCCCGTGTTTCTGATTACCAGGCGGATGTTGTGCTTCTTCGCAAAATTGATCGTGGCCTGGTAGTTGGAAGCCTCATGTGCATCAACGGCGTACTGCACGTAGGCGCCGATGACGCACTGAGATGTCGGCGGAAGGAAAGCTTCACAGCTTTGGTTTGCAAACCATGGCGCCATGATGGAAGAGGATGTCTCTGTGTGAGTCGTAGGGACCGTCCATTTTGCTCGGATCGCATCACATTCGGCTTGGTTGAACGTCATGCTATGGCACGGAGTAGCTAGAGGGACCGTCGCGATGAGCTTTCCTCCAACAGTAGCATTGAAGTCGTTCCATACTGAGGGTGCAGGCCAGCAAGAGTCGCCCGGGAAACAGCGACAGCTCGAGAAATTGGCTGTGGTAGCCTGGGACCACGCGAAGCCCATATTGAACGGATCGAGCGAGGGTAAGGATGTTGAGAGATTTGCAACGCCAACGGAGGGAGCGGCCATGTTTGCAGCTGACGGGGGCCCGTGTTATATAGACAGACGGAGGTGAGAGCCTCTGCCGAAACGTGAGGGACTAGGTGATGGGCTCAATGGACCAGCTGGAGAGAGCGCCGGTCGCCAGGCGGCACGCGATATGCAAGGCGAGGCTAGCACCACGGGAGCGATATGTATCTCAAACTCGATCACGGGTAGGTGGCGTACATATGGGCGCAATAGTGGCGGGAAGATTGGGAGATGAAGCCCATCCTGGGTGCGTGCGGCACGGTTAAGGACGTGGTGCGCGGCGTGGGCCACGAGGCACGGTATAGCGAAATAGGCAAAATAGGTTGGCCTTGCAGAAAGTTTCACAGATGCATGCATGAAGAGGGCTTATTGAGCGTGGTGGATTGATCGATCTCGTATTGCATTCCTAGCTACCCTAATTCACCTGCAGTAGCGTCCCAGGTTCCTGCTGCTTTCATGTTACACTACGTGCTGACGGCGTCATAGCCAATTACATGTTGGGAAACGGCCAGCTATTGTAACCAAACAGGAGCTTAGTGCCCGACACGATTTCCTCCCGCATGCCCTTGAGCTCCTCGATGTCCCAGTTTGCCCAAATGAATCTGCCCGTGAGGAACTTTGCTTCAGGCAACGACGCCCACAAGCTGAAGCCGGCTGGGAGCTTGACTGTGGTGCCTCTGTCAGTGCTAGGCTCACACTATGAGCTGCTCTTTGACCTACCGTCGTCCATGGCAAGCATGTCTGTCGTATAACCAGACTTGCGGAATCCGTCAGTCTCGACCATTCCTGGATGAACAGCAGCGAAGAAGACATTGGGATTCTCCTCTGCCAGTATCTCGATCATTTTGGCAGCTGCCACTTTGGCCACCTGATAGCCCGCATATCCGACCAGCATTTGTGCCGGAAAGACGCTCCCGGCACTGATCATGGCCAAGAATGCGGCGTATGTCGGGCTTGCGGTGGGGAGGAACGCCTTGACCATGACGGCAATGGCTTTCACGTTGACCTAGTAGCTTGCATTAGACAAATTCAGAGCTGAAGGGTGGCCTTACCTCATATGACTTCCAAAAGTCGCTGATATCGGACTTTGCGACGGGCGAAGGTGTGGGCATCCAGCCTGCACAGAACACCACGGCATCCCAAGTGCCGACTTCACCCGCAACCTTTGCCATAGCTGCCTCGTCTGTCACGTCCGCATCGAAAATCGATATTTTGGCATACGGATTGGCTTTGGAGGCTTGAGCTGCCGTCTCCTCAAGCTTGGACTTGGTGAGGCCGACGAGGACGAGGTGCTTCGCTCTCGCGGTGGCGTAGCCAATGGCAGTCTCGCGCCCAATTCCTCCTCCCTAGGATAGTTTCTGAGAATACGAGACTGCAAGCGAGACAAACTGTACTCACGGCACCAGTGATAATAATAGTGTGCCCCTCATGGCTGACATTAGGGTTGCTGTATTCGATGGCTGGATAGACGTCGTTGTGCCAGGTCGGTGTGAGCGAGGGATATGGGGGCTTCATTATGGACAATCGGGGATGTTCTGTCGAGTGCAATGGTAAGGGGTTTAGATATGAAGCGCCCGTCGGCGTCGATCTAAGTAGGTTGAAGTGCAGGATATGTGAAGGGAAGCCCCCTTCCACCAGCCCCGCAACCCCGATGTCATCGCCGCCCAGCCCAACATGCACCCGTGGACGTCGCTCAAATCACCATGTTGCTCAATGCTACACAAATTTCCCTTTCGGCGTGCGACGGAAGACATCGTATCTGGTCATTCCATCGCCCAAGAAGTAGAAGTCCTTCCCCAGTATGAGCAATTTATTCTGCATGCAGGTGCCCCTCTCCAACTGGACGGTACTCCAGTCAGTCCGGAGTATTGCCTTATGCAGCTCTATCCGATAGGCCACTTTGCTTTCTGGCGGCGAGTCCGGGCGTATGCGGGTTGTACCGCTCGTCTGGTCCAAGTGTACAGTCTCATTGGTCATTGTCTTGTTGACTTTGCTCGCGAATGCAGCTCAAGTCAAATCTCTCCAGAGTTTTGCAACTCGTACTCTCCTGCGAAGTAAGGCGGAAGCGAACACTACCGAGCTCCCCACGAAGGCACTTGATCGACGGCCCGTTCGTCCCGCGAAGGCACTCGATCGACGGCCTGTTCGTACACCATGGTTCCTCCATTCACCCTGCGGCTTTCGGACAAGGCACAACTGGATTACAGAACTATATGCTTATTGTTACACGCGCAAACGCTGATGCTTGCCTACCCCTTCGTCCTACAGAGCCTTCCATTTGCGTCTTGCTCCCAGCGGTCACTCCCCACCGCCGTCTTCGCATAGAAAATCCCTTGTGGATCATACTTGTCCTTGATTTTGAGAAGCTTATCATAGTGCGCGCCATAGAAGAGAGTCCTAAAATCGGGTGCCTGGAAATCCCCTTCGTTCAAGTACGCTCCACCATTCGGTGTAAGCTTCTCCACCTGTGGAAGGAAATCATGGGTGATCTCATTTTGTGCCGCCGTTGTTGCTGACCAGTCAGTGTAGTTGATAGGGGTTCCCACGGTCAGACTGAATAGAGTCTTCCGAAAGTATGGATTCACGGCAACATCATCGGGAGACGCAACGCTATGTGAGACATTATAACTGACGCCAGACATGAGCGTACGCTCGCTGATGTTCCTGATAACTCTGGTTATGGCGGCTGTGTTGTTTGCTACAAGCTCTCTAGGGATCAATCGGCCGCCAACGTTGTAATTTGAGACGTTCCAGGATTCGGTCAGAGAGTTGTAAGCTGTCAGAAACGTAGTGTGCTCTCTAGAGGAGTATGAAGTCTCAAGACCGAGTTGGTGGAACTTGTCGAGTGTAGGTTTCAGGATTTCGTCCAATTCGCTCTGGTGTATGCCCGGTGCCATGGCAGGTGTGAGCATAAATCCAAAAGGTGCGGCTACCCATACTGCAGTAGCGCCAGAGTTAACGAGAGAGAGAAGGTTTTGAAGAAAAGTGCCTATTCCTTCGTACAGAGCGTCTGCATTGGTCTCATTTTTCAGCACCGTCATGGTTGCGGTCGAGGTGAAAGTGTCAGGAAAGGCTTTAACGGTCATAGCTACCACCACACCAAATGTGCCGCCTCCTCCTCCCCGCAATGCCCAATAGAGATCCGAATTATTTTGCGCGTTTGCGGTAAGTAACTCTCCAGTGGCGGTCACAACCTCCCATTCCAACACTTGATCAGCCGCTAAGCCAAATCTCGATGCGAAAGGTCCGTGGCCTGCGCCTTGCGTATATCCACCGGCGAGTGCGACAGTGGGGCAGTTGCCTCCTACGATAACGAGGCCATGTTCGCTTGCAAATGTGTATGCGTCGCCCGCGAGGACTCCAGCACCGATTTTGATAGCAGGACCCGAAAATGTGGGACCGGTGTACTGGGTGAATAGCTTAATCCCCTTCACCGAATGGGTCCAGATCTCCAGTGCATGAGCTCCGGTCGACTTGCCAAGGTAGTCATGCCCAGTGTTGCGGATGACAAGTCTGATGTTGTGCTTGGTAGCGAATAGGATGGCAGCCCGATAGTGAGCAGACTTGGTGGCGTTTATGGAGAACACGGGGTGGAAGCCTAGGGTGCAAGGGGTGTCCGGCCCTAGCCAGGGATTGCAGCTGTTATTTGAAAAAGGATAAGCCATCGGCGAAGATGCTGACTGCAGATGCGTTTCAGGGTAGTACCACACAGTTCTCAGAGCTTCACATCTGGCGAGGTCAAATGCCAAATTCGGGAGGTTGAATAATGCCTTATGGCAAGGAGCTGCGAGGGGAATGGTGGCAATCAATCTGCCATCAACCGTATTATTGAGGGTAGCCCAATCAGCTGAAGAAGGCCACGCAGTGTCTCCAGGAATGGAGCGACACTGGGCGACAGGGGCCGCACGTGTCAATGAAGAATATGGAAGAAGGAATGCGAAGGCGATGAGGAAAGCAAGGATTGACGCCATGGAATGCAGTCGGCTGAAAGACAACAACTGGTTTGGAGAACATGTGGAAAAACACGGCTCTTTCTAGTTCAATAAAGGTCAGGTACAGCAGAAAGCTCTTCTTGGGGGGATAAACTCTCAGGAGACGTTATTCCGATAGTATGTCTTGATATTGAATGCGTCAATACGTTGATGTTGCTTTCGCAAATTAATATGCTGCAGCAGCTGTTGCCTCGGAAGACCATTGAGCGCACAACTCGATTTTAGGCAGGTGCGACCAGTATCAACAACCAACCCTGGATTGTAGTACAAAGGCAAAGCCCGATACTATGGACATTTCCGAAACCACAGAGGGCGAGTCCCCAGTTTCTAAATTCGATCGATGTTACACCTGAGAAAGTTGGCAAAATGGCGATGTTCGTTCCGCCCCACTCGTGGCCAATGCTTGTTCCACATAGCAGGAGTTATTGGACAAAATTGATTCCGCATCTGGGTCACGGCGCGCCGAGAGAAAACGGTCGGGGTCTGCCCAGCGTGCTGCAGTTGCGACGAAGGTCGATAGCAGCATTCATCATCGATGCATTGATAGGGGATCATACTCTTCAATTCATTTCGTCGACATTCATCGATGCGTGGGCTTTGCAGGCCATGCTGGTTTAATTGGTAGAGTGAATAGAACACCAGTAGTACACTTCGACCACCATCGCGCCGCGGCCGCCTCTACCCCACTCTACCTGGGCTGTTCTACACTCAGTAGTGAATACCTCTGACTTCCCTTCTCCCCATTCTACCAACTTCTGGATCGCTGTACGCCATCTACATCCATAATGTATCTTGCTATCTCCATCGCCCTCGGAGCCATCGCTGGCGTCATTGCTCACAATAGCTTTTTCAAGCATGGCGAGTGGCATATGAGTACGCCGAATATACTACTAACACACCTGATTGCCGAATTTTCCGCCCTGTATCTGCTAGAAAACCTCCTTGGAAGCTTGGGCGATGCTCTCAATTTTGTCGCGAGCGTGACAACTTCGTATCTCACAGCATTATTCACGAGCATGACTATATACCGAATCTTTTTCCACAAGACGTCGCACTTCCCAGGGCCAAGACTAGCAGCCGTAACAAAATTCTGGCATATATGGCATATCCGAGACAGTACGAATTATATGTTCATGCAGAAGCTGTATGAGCGCTACGGAACATTTGTGCGCACAGGTCTGTTGTCCTGCAACTGCAGTGTGAATAAATCAAGGACACTTATCATATATGATAAGGCCCGAACGAAATTAGCATTTTCCATCCAAGCGCGATTCAACTCCTCGACGGCTGGATGAATCAGAACACAAAGGACATCTGGTACGATGTCCTCCAGCCTCGCAATTCCGCCATCTTCACGCGGGATGAGCTGGACCACAAGCATAGGCGAAAAGTATGGACACAATCCTTGTCCTCCAAAGGTACCTTATCTCTCACCTCCATTCTTCCTCCAGAGTTTAACTGAAAATATCTTCAAGCAATGGACTCCCTTCGACCTCGCCTCGCCGACCAAGCCATGGCGCTTTCACGCTGTATCGCGAGTTACAACGGCGCCCCGGTCGACGTCGACGAGGTAATGTCATGGTTCTCGTTCGACGCCATGGGTGAGGTAGTATTCGGCGAGGACTTCAATCTCATGAATTCGCGCGTCATGCATCCAGCAATCCTCCATAGAGATAGAGCACTGGCAATGCTGGGGCCTATCGCCGATGCGATTTGGATTGCGAGAATAGCGTTCTCATTCATACCGTTTTATGGAAGAGTGAAGGATTGGATGCAGATGGTTAAGTTCTGCGAGGAGAGGATGGACGAGAGGGTGGAGGTGAGTGTGCCTTTGGCTCCCAAGCCTAGATCGTACTTACGGCCAGCAGAGAGGCATGAATAAAGAGAAATCGGATATGGCTCAATGGTTTATTGAGGAAAATCACAAACTTAGCGAGGTAAGGAGTCCAAAGGATCGACGCCATCTGCTCAGCGGTACTGCTGTCTCTGCCGTCGTAGCAGGAAGGTTAGTACGCTCCATTCCTCACCGGGCTTCACGGCATCGCCCAGGGGATCGGACACTAACGTAATGACTCGTAATAGTGACACAACCCGCGCCTCTCTCATCGCTATCTGGTGGTGCCTATGTAAACACCCTGAGCACGCCGAAAAGATCCGTTCCGAAATCAAGGACGTCGACATTAGCGACGCCAATGCCCTCGCTACCCTTCCCCATCTCAACGGAGTCGTGAAGGAGGTTCTGAGGCTCGTGCCACCAGCGATGACAGGTGGCGGGAGAATCACAGGACCACAAGGCCTCTGGGTAGATGGTACATTCATTCCTCCGTTCACCAAGGTCACAGCACCAAAATATGTCATTATGCGGAGTAGGTCTCCACAATGCGCAATTTTAGGAAAACACGGAAACTTATATCCTCTAGTGGAATCTGCATTCGAGTTACCCAATGAATTCATTCCCGAGAGGTGGTATTCGCGGCCCGAATTAGTGAAAGACAAAAACGCATTTGGGCCATTCTCTTTCGGTATTGCATATTCTTTCCCAATGTGCTATTGCATCTTTGATCGCGCCACTGACGAATACCCTAGGCAACCGCCAATGTGTAGGCAAAGTCCTCGCATACGCAGAATTGCGGCTTGTAGCTGCGACGCTACTCAAGCATTATAACGTTCGTTTCGCGCCAGGGTATAACCCAGATATCATGTGGCGTGACATGAAGGATCAGGTTACAGCTCAACCGGGACAAGTGCTTTGTATTTTCGAACCAAGGGATGGTCAAGATGTCTAAACGGCACTACGGATAAGTTATTACTACGATAAGGGTATGTCGCTATTATAGAATTGGTGATTCAGAGTTCTCAACAGTCAATCAGTTAGTCCCGGAGGCTACCGGACCTGACTGACTTACTTTTCCAGCCAATCAGACTAATTGGATTGATTACCAACTTTCCAATGTTAATTGAGATTGATTGGCTAATTGGCAGAATAGGCGGCTTTTGCACTAATTGATTGGCTGACTGACTGCCTTATGTGTACTTAAACTGCTCTAATTCAGCGGTTATTTTGTTCAAGCCGTTGAGAGAGACTCCCGGAGTAGTAGTAGCAGTTGTAGGAGCGGCTAATCGTTTCATGCCTACCCTCTTCTAGCTCTTTAGTGACTGTAAGGCGGAAATTAGCTAAGGCTCCATGTGTAGTCTCCACGCGTCGAGGAAACCCCTGAGCCCACTAAACACCCCCTTTAAAGTCGACGGAGGAGACGGGGATTGAGTATATACCAAAGGGGAGCTTGGCCAAGGTGGGGAACTTCTCCTCACAAAGGAGCTAGCACCGTATTGAGTAGTCGGAAAGAGAGCCCTTATAGAGTAGGGGCAGATGAAGTCTCTAGAATTTATTCTCGTCTTTAAGCGCCCCCCTTCCCCTGGTGGAGGTCTGCCTTTATAGAGTTCTCTAGAAAAGTTTCTTGACTGGAGGCGTGGGTGGCGGCTCTCGCAAAGGCAAACAGGTATTTGAGGCGAGAGTCTCACATAAGTGGGAGCCAAACTGAGAGAATTGAATAGTTGTAGTGTACGGCGTAGGAAGGTCTGAGGAGCGAGAGAGAGCTCCGAACCGACTATATAGTGTACGACAAAGCAACTAGTCCTAATGAGTGTATAGTGCAGAACAGGGGTACGACTGCAGGTGCGACAATTTCTACCGTGCCAAAGCTTAAAATGTTCGACTGTCTGCTACATGCGACTCTTAGATACAGTCGCATGACAAAAGTCTGTGTACATCACTTTTTCCCCACTAAATCGCGACGCGAAAAAGAACCACGCGCATTTAATTTTATATATAATTACATACTTTTTTTAATGTAAATAATTAAAATATATTTAATACTAAGTCTGCTAGCTATGCGCAAGTTGTACAGCCTTAACCCTCCTCAGCATTAACTAGATAAGTGTACAAATTAGTGAATTAGGTATTAGCTGCTACCCCTTCTTTAAAGTAGCATAAAAACAGTCCTAATCCTCTTCTAAATTGCCTAATTTGTTAAACTTAGGATAAAGCTTGTGTACAATCTTTTTAAGAGCCTACTAGAGGTGCTTAATAGAATTAAGGTCTAGTAAATACAGAGGCTACTCTAAGGTCTAAATTCTATGCTCTTTAAAAAAGATCTAAGTTACTTAGGTGTTATAAATTAGCGCATTATCTTGCATAAAGATCTGCCTTAGTAGGTAGTTTAGTAGAAGACCTTTCTTAAGCGTTTCTATGTATAAATTTGCAGAATACCCCCCGCGCTTGCTCTAGGGGTCCCTTAGCATAATTACTAATTTACTCTGCTCTACCCTTCTGTTACTAGTTACCTAAATAGCCCCCTATACTATCTAAGAGGGTTGTTTTAATTTCTCTTTTTCTTAAATTATCTCTTGTTGCTAGCGCTTTTTAGGGTATTAAAAACACTACTTTTTATTACCTCTTAAGTTAACCTTAACTAAGCACTTATTAAAAAACTTAACAGTCCTTCTTTTTTAGTTAAAGTGGCAGTATGTCTTAGTAAATTAACGCCTAATTTAGGTGTGCTTCTCTAGCAGTTTTAGTCTCTTGTTATAACAGTAGTTTGTTAACCCTTGTTTCTTAAAAGCTTAGTACATAGTACGCTTAGATAGTAAGTGTGCACAGTCTATAAGGTAAGCTTTCTTTATAAGGCAATTATACTAGATTTTTAGGGTCTTTTAAACCTAGCAAAAAAGGAGGCAACTCTTATAAATATTAATTGCATGTGGCTGGCCAGATCTTAGTAGTAAATAAGTAGTGTAGTAAGTTTTCTATCTGTAAATTGTGTTGTGCACACATCTACGCAACACGCTATACTCCTTTATTATTTTTTAATAAGTACATCTTGCCTTATACTTTAAAATAATACTAGCCCTTGCTAAGGGGGTTAATTTACCCCCTTGTCCGCAATTTCTGCTTATTTCCTGGCCAAAAGAACAGCGTGGCATAGTTGTGGGGTAGTGGTTTGGGGAGGGGTTGGATGCGCGACGCGATGTTTTGGTGTTCGCGCACGGTTCATGTACACAGACTTTTGTCCTAGAACTGTACAACATTAACAACTAAGGGCATAGCGGCACAGATGATCTATGGCAACTTCTCCGCAGGCTCCCAACCATATTCAAAGTGACCCAGACCCCCCAAGACACTTCTGCACTGATGCTGTATTAATCAGGAAGTATGATTAGTAGAATCGATGAAATATACCTATTGAAATTAAGTGTGTAGTTAGTACAAATATCCATCCTTCTCCAACACAACATTGAAAGCCCTTAGACTCAAACTAACCGCCTTCTTAACCCTACCCTTCTCCCCATTCATCGTAAACAGGAACTTATCAATTGGAAACTTCCCCAACACAAGCAGATCCACACTACCCCACGAGTTACCTGCCGAAAACGGCCCCGTAAACACGGCGCCAGCCTGCTGATCCAAACTCATGCGCCACGCCACCTCCCTGCCATCTTCTGTCTCCCTTTCCAAGTTGGTCGGATAGACGCGCAGGGCAGAGGGCGTCAGAGGCTCGGAGGTGGCAGTGTAGGAGTCGCCCGCAAAGAGTTTGGCAAACACGATCAGCATGTCCGTGCCGTTGCTGATCCACTTAGAGATGCCGAGACCGGGGAGTTTGGGGGGTCAGTGTTGAGGTTTAAGCTGAAGTTCAGGACATTCTTTGCTGTGTATGTTCCTGCGTACACGACGTCTGCTTGTTCGCGGGCCGCGGCTTCGAGCGCGGGGAAGAGCTTGTATACGACGAGGTCGTCGAGCCAGAGAGGTGCGCCTGTGCCTCCTATTGCGAGGGCGAAGCCGATATTGTAGTCAGGCACCACTGCCAAGTTCGCTTGGTAGAGTCCAATGTCGCCTTGCTTGGTATACAGATCAACGAGGCGCTTGCTTGGACCAATATCCGCGGCGCGGTAGATTTCCCACGGGCGACCGACGTTGCCGTAGAGACTAGAGGTATGCAATGTTGGCTTTAACCATGCGCGTGTAGTGTTCTCGAGTAGGAGTGTGGAACTCAAGATGGAGTGCCCGATCTTCGTAAGGTCGCTGGTAGACGCGTATATGTCGCACGTGTCTCACGCGATATCATACCCATGTACTGCACTATTCACTCATTAGGCATAGCTTCTCTCTTGTACAGTATATAGTCAGCCCAGAGCTCTATTAAGCTCCTTAGACCTTACAATACACTTGTTTAATCCACCTTGTTTAGATCTTACTCCCTTATTAAGTTGTTTGCTATAACGTGTTTTATCACTCATCCGCCAAAATCAGTCATCCGCCAGCCCCACCAAAACCAGAGCACCTTTCTGACAGATAACTGAACAGCAACTAAATTAAACCTATATAGATATATATACAAAAGATTCCTAATTGCTTCTACATTAAGTCCTGTTATGGCCTTGCACGTGGCATTTTGAGCAGGTTGGTGGTGCTCGGCGATAGCTCTAAGATGCCTGAGCCTGCGCATCTACCTCGACCACCCTATTAGCCTCTGCAGCCAGCCTCTAACCTTCCTAGCCTGTAAGAGTCCCTTCTGTAGCAATATACTGCTGTTGCTGTTGCCTTTTCTGCTCTTAACAATAGTTAGCCTAACACAGCTTAGTGTTCTTCTCTATAAGGATTGTTACTAAGTGCATTACTATCTAACATCTTTTAATAAGCTAAGCTATTGCCTAGCTAGTAAAGCTCTATAATTAATAACTAAGGCAGTTATAGATAAGTTAAGCCTACTGCTGTAGCTAAGTAACTGTATAAGGCGTCTCTACAGTCTAGCGCGTCTTACTGTAAGCTTCTTGCGCTAGTAAAGACAGCGTACAGACAATAGTAAGCAACAATAAGATGTAATTAGGATAGTATAGGACTAAACCTGCAGCTTAAAAGCTGCTCTTAATTATCTGCTCTGTAAACAGTATAGGTCTAATATGTGTATAGATGCTTAGAAAGTCTTACTTATTAACATAGTAGATATAATTACGCGCTAGCTTAGAAACCTTGTGTCTATACACTGTCTTAAGCAGGGAGAAGCAGCTAACATCTAGAGGCTGTAGAAGGTAGGAGCTATAAGCTAGCATGCAAAGACTAATAATCTTATTCTCTGTACAGTATTAGTTAAACTTAGGCGTCGCATGGCTGCTGTGGCTGTCTACTATAAGCAGGCGGTAGGCCCTAGTTGTACGCAACGCAGTCTAATTGTTAAAGTGCTTAAGCTAGGACAGACTAAGCTAGTTAGTAGTCTAGCTGTTGTTGCTTACCGCGAGCGTCTAGTTGCCAGGGATATCGCGATACCAGCTAGCCTAGTGCAGCTTGCCTAGTAGGATAATAAGCGGGGGGAGCACCTAGCTAGACGCGTTAATACACTTAATTATTATAACCTAGTTATAATTACCTAGCTAGATAGTAGTTGCTTAACTAACTCTATTAAAGCTTGTAATAACCTTAGACATGCTGCTAGTAATTCCTATTATAAATTCTATCTTATTAAAGTTATAAGTATTCTTGTCTAGTATCCTATACCTCTAATGCGTGTCCTTTATAAGCTTAAACTAGGCTCTAAACTTAACTAGATCCTAACAAAGAGCGCGCTAGAAGTGCAGCTTCCTGTCCTACTTTGTCTTAAGCTCTAGCTGGCTGTTAATAAAGCGCGCCACCTAGCATTTGCCTACACGCGGGGGTGGAGGCTGCTAGCTGCGAGCAGCAAGCAGAGTGTCTGCTATTTGTTGCACATTAATAATATGTGGTAGAAAACTGCGTGAGTTAAGGTCTAAGATCTAGCGTACAAGGGACTACTTTTTAACAGGTAATAGCTTTTGTTTTCTTGCGTTAGCTGTAGCTTGTAGAAGGGCGCCTACAAGGCAACTGCAAAGCGTTAATTAAGGTGTGTTGTATAGCGCTAAGACATAATAAACAGATAGATTTTTGTAAGTTTAAAGAACAGAGGCAGCTAATGCTAGTCTGCCCTCTTTTCAACCTAATTAGAGCTGTTGTGGTGGTGGTAGAGGCATGTTGGTTGATAGAGACGCGTTGATTTTGGTGGGGCTGGCGGATGACTGATTTTAGCGGATGAGTGATAAAACACGTTATGTCCCCTCCTTAGCTTATGTAAGAGTTATAAGCCTAGAGTCGCGCTCCTAACTAGTCCTCTAGTCACCACTGCACAGTTAGCTTTTGCATCTAGCTTTAGGGCCCTGCGAACTTTAACACATATTAATTATAGATTACTTACTACTTAAGCCTAATTAACTAAACAATAACCTTCTGTCTATTCTAAAACATATTAATTACAGATTGCTTACTAACTAAGCCTAATTAACTAGACAATAACTTTTTGTCTATTCTACACATATTAATTACAGATTGCTTACTACCTAAGCCTAATTAACAGGATAATAACCCTCTGTCTATTTTAAAACATACTAATTACAGATTACTTACTAGCTAAGTGTAAGGACGGAGCTCTGTACCACTACGCCAATACAACTAAAAGGTACGAATAATCAACCAACGTTGATTTTCGGGTGCAGAATAGTATATATACCTGTCGCACGTAAGCGCCATCTCGGCCTTACACTAAGCCTAATTAACTAAATAATAACTATTTTATTCTACTTTATTAACACACAGAAAAATAACTCTAACTATTAATGCCTTTATATAGCTTACTAAAAAGAGTAACTAGCAGCCCTAGTTTAGTTACATTAAGACACAAGCAACTAGAGAATGTGTCTAGAAGTATATTAATCTAGATCTCTTACTAGAAAATCTCCTAGTTAACACTATGCTATAGAGGCCTAAGGTTACAAAGTTTTATACAGGCAGCACCTAGCTTAGTCTAAATCCTATAGTCTCTAACCTAAACCTTAATAATTAATAATGCTACATAATAGCTTATAAAAACTACTATAATAATCTAAGATTATTCTAAACTTAATAGAAAGCCTTATTAGACATTTATGTGCTTATTAAAAGCACTATTAACGCATTAAACTACTTTATTATTAGGGATAAAAAAACTATTTATAAAAAGCTAAAGGCCTTAAAAGTAATCTTAGAGCCCTTTAATAAGTAGCTTAAGCAGAGCGCACAAATAGCATATAACTGTGTAAGAAAGTAGTTATTAAAAATGCAATAGAACTAATAAATTATAGTGTACAGAAACACATATATTAATGCTAAATTAGTTTACCTGCTAAATATAACAGAATATTAACTACACTATAACTTTATGTTAGTAATTTTAGACATAAACCCTAGATGTGCAGTAGCTATCTAATTAATTCTAGTGTAGTATAAATAGACTAATAAAGATCTACCTAATTTTTTTACTAGCTGTCTAAAGTTCTTTAAAAATTAGTAATAATTATAGCTAGCTTAGCAACCTAGTGTTACTTATAGTAGTTTTACTACATACTAAAGACATTTATTTACACTAGAACAGCAGCAACAGTAGTTTATATGCAACTTCTGTAGAGGCTGCTATAAATTAAAGAACTGTAGAATTAATAATCTTTAACTAAGACTTAAAAAGTTTTAGATCTTTACTTTTCTCTAGTAAAAATATAATAAGTAAATAAGTAGTAATTTTTAGCTTAAAGTAAAAGCAAAGTAGCTTAAAAATAAAGACTTTTCTTTACTGCTAAAAGACTAACTAAACTAAAAAAAAAAGACGCAGAAAAGGTAGTAATAATAGTAACTATTATTAGCTAACTTAATTATCTAGTTATGTAACTTAATTATCTAGTTATGTAACTTAATTATATAATTAAAGCTTATAGTCTTAACCTAGTCTACATCTAAATGCAATCTTTTAGACACTAGCTTTTAATAATTCTACTAACTAGAATCTACTTAATGCTTTAACTAGCACTAGGTAATTAGCAGCTACTTTTATAAGCTTTATAATAAACTTTATAAGTAAGAAACATGCTGCAAAGCTAGATAATAAAAAGAATCCTTTCTAGCACTTATAGATTCTAGATTCTAGAGTAGACATTTATATTTATAATAATCTAGCTAACTTTTAATAGACTTAGAGCTTATTCTTATTAAACTAACTTAAAGCTAGCAGCTAACACTTTTCTATACTAGCATAAGGCATAGTTATACTTACTATAAAGAGTTTTAAACAACCTACTAAGATAAACCTAAATAATATAGCTTATATTTTTAGCATGTTTACTAGTCTTGTATCTTTTTTATAAGAATAGGATATACACTTTAACTCTAAAGATAACTTTGTATATAAATAACTTTATAATAGCACTTAATTACTAATTTGCTTTACTACTTAAACTAGAGGTTACTAGGCCCTAGTATTATGCATAAAGGATCTATCTATTAGATCTATTTTACTAATAGTTATAGCTACTACAAACTTTACACAGCAACTTATTATATAAGATAATACTTTAAATAATAAAAATTATATTAATTTTATAAAAGAGCTTCTAGAGCTTAAAGAGTGTAATAAGAGACTTAGTAATTAGCTATATAAAAAGCGCTAGTAAAGCTCCCTTTATTATATGCCTTTTTTTAAAATAACTTTAAAAACTGTTTTAATAGTTAACTTTAAAAAAAAAACTAATATTAACTTAGTCTTCTAACATAACCTTAGTAACACTTTAGATAATAGCTTTAATAATAAGCTACTATTAGTTATTAAGGTTTGTCTATAAATAGGTAACATAGCTATAGACTTTAAAACTAATAATAATAATTTTAAGTAAGCTATAACTACTTAGCACACAGCTCTAATTAATTATAAGCTTTAGAAAAGAAGAATTTACATACACTAGATCTCTACTACAGACATGCTGCCTAACAGCCTTACTAAGTTCCTACCTTAATAAAAGCAGAACAAGGTGTTAATAACTTACTGCTGCACTTATTTAAACTACTACTAAACTGTCTAGCTAGTATTATGCCTTTACACTAAGCTTTATTAAAGAACTAGGCTTTATCTGCCTAAGTAACACCCTAAAGGCTTACTTTACTAACATTAGCTTAAAACTCTAAGCCTACTAACTTTTTTTCTTTAGCTATTTTGCGCTTTTAAGTGCACTACTATACACCTATAGTTTATTATTTCTTTTTATACAGCTTTGCTTTAGTATTTACTTTGTTAAAGCTAGGGGGGTGTGTCGCACGTGTCTCACGCGATATCATACCCATGTACTGCACTATTCACTCATTAGGCATAGCTTCTCTCTTGTACAGTATATAGTCAGCCCAGAGCTCTATCGAGCTCCTCAGACCTTACAATACACTCGTTCAATCCACCTTGTTTGGATCTCGCTCCCTTGTCGAGTCGTTTGCCATATGTCCCCTCCTCAGCTCATGCAAGAGTATAGGCCACCCATGGGTGCTGTAGCTCCCAAGTTGCGCGCCCATTGACTAAGCGTGGTGTTAAATGGAATTACGCCCCTTTCGCCCTCGGGTGCAGAGAACGAGGTCCCTGTTAAGCCTAGTGCATCTACCAAGGTTGTCTTGAGTATATCCTCATAGGGCTTTCCCGTTATGCTTTCGAGGGCGTACGCGAGGAGTAATATCCCCGTATTACTATATGTCGCTACCGTATTTGGTAAGAATGTAGGCTGGCGGTCATTGATGGCGTCAGAGAACTGTTGTCGAGTGTAGGTAAAATTCTCAAGCGTCACAATGCAGGATGGATATTCAGCGGGTCTCCAAGCCGCGCTAGTCATAGGCAGTGAGCTGAGCTATGTACATAGATCCTAGTATAATGTGACTGACCAGCCACGAATAGTGCAGGGCCGTCACATAACCCCCCGCTCAAGGCAGGCTTGTCCCCGAGCCTAGTACGTTAAGTCTTGCCAACTTAGCTCGCTGCTGGCCGAGCAGCCTATTGTTGATGCTGCAGGCAGAGCAGCCGTTGTCTACTGCAGGCGGGGCAGCCTATTGTTGATGCCGCTGGCGGAGCAGCTGTTGTCTACTGCAGGCAGAGCAGCTATTGTCGATGCTGCTGGCGAGGCAGCCTATTGTTGATGCCGCTGGCGGAGCAGCCGTTGTCTACTGCAGGCGGTGCAGCTATTGTTGATGCTGCTGGAGGAGCAGCGGTGTTGATGCTGCAGGCGGAGCATTCTTTGTCTACTGCAGGCGGTGCAGCGGATGTTGGTAGGCCTGCTGTCTCTAGGCCTGTAGGATGCCTGCTGCCTCGGGGCTTCTAATTGTGTAGCAGGGGATTAAGGGTGGTGGTTTTGTACAGAGCCCGCGGCTCTCTTGTCGTTGTGGGGTGGTGGTACTATAGGCCCCCCCTATAGTTAATATGAACTAGAGCTCTAATGCTCCTAGCTAAGGTCTCCTTTAATAAGGTTGCAGCAATCTAATTGCTACTTAGTGTTGCTTTTTAGTTGCCTAGCCTAACTAGGGCTTTAAAGCAGATAGCTATTGTTAACAAACTAAAGCTTAGCCTAGTTGTACTAGCAGACCTGCTAAATAAGAGTTAGTTAGCAAATGCAGCGCACAGGCTAATTGCTTAGTATAACCTAGATATTATGCTGCTGTCCTCTAGCTAAATGTTACTAACTTTAGTATTATTTAATAACAAGCTTAGTCTTTACTATTATATAGTATAAATAGCCTAACAAGATATGTTAGCTATATTCTACAAGAATACTAAGGTGAGGGGATAGAAGGGTTAGAGGCTAGAACCCTTAAGTAGCTAGCCTATTAGCCTAGCAAAACCCATCTCTAAGCCGCGCTAGTTGTAGGCAGTAAGCTAAGCTATGTATATAGATTCTAGTATAATGTAACTAACTAGCTATAAATAGTGTAGAGCGGTTATAATAACTGTATAAAAACTTATAAGTAAACTATATACTTATAAAATTTAACAAAAGTAATTAACGTACCTAACGGGTTGGCCGGCCACACAGGTTGGCCGGCCACTTTTGCCAAGCCCCCACTAAAACCACCCTATTCTAGCGCAAAACAGCCCACTTTAGCCCTGTATAGAGCAATACAACATAAGATATTATTTAGAGTCTACTTCTACTACTTTCTTACATATACGCAAGTTATGTCTAGTCTAATTACACTGCTTGTATTACCTTTAACTTAGCTTACCTTCTTTAGCGCGCACTTATGTTTTTAGCTTTTTTCTATTACTACACGCTCTAAACTTCTTTAGAGTAGTTAAATAAGCTCTATCTTTAACTATTAAAGTTTTTTCTACTTAAATCTGCTTTCTTTTATGTAATTTATGTTATATAGTAGCCTTATTTACTGCTTAAAGCTCTGTAATCTTCTTTTATACTAACACTAGCTTATATGTAATAATTACTGCCCTCTTTAAGACCTTCTTAAAGGCTTTTACTATAGATGTTAGTAAGCTATCTACATGCCTCTAAATTCTTACTTTTATAAGCATTAATTATAACCTAAATTTAAAAGTATTACTTAGGGTTTACAACTACTAGAGCTTATTATTAATAAGTAGTAGTAGTAATAAAGTATATAACTAGATATTAAAAGCTATTTTAACTTATTTTAAGTTAAATAAAACTAAACTAGCGCTTTAAAACCCTTTTTAGATATTACTAAAAGTAATTACTACATTATAAGCGCGTATAAAGCATAGTAGAAACTTAAGTTTTATAATGTAAGTAATTTAGTTATGTATAAAATTTTTAGCTTAGTGCTTATATACTTTTTTTAAAGAGGTAAAATAACCTACATTAAGAAGCTGTAAGAGGTGTAATAAGTATAAAAGTATATAAATAGTAATAATCTTATTTTTTTTATAGTACTACTAGAAATTAAGTAAGTTATAGCTTTTATAGCTATTAATAATAAAAAGCTAATAAGCGCTTATAACTTTTTTTATATGCTTATTAAAGTGCTTTAACTACTATAGCTTAAGCTTATTTATTATCTAGCTGTTTTTAAAAACTACAATAACTTAGTTTTAAGGCAGATTTTTCTTTTTATACTAAGTAAAAAAGTAATAGCAGCTTTTAAAAATAATAAAAAGTAAAATAGCTTACTTTATTATATTAATGCTTTAAATAACTATTATTTACTTCTTATTACTTTACTATATTACCTTTAGCTGTTTTTGTCTTTTTAAAGCTATAATAACTAATTTAGTTAATATCTAGCTTATTATAAAGCTTAACTTATTAAAGTTATATATGTTTTTATTCTAGATACTGTACTTAGCTTTTATGTTAGCTACTAGGTAAAACTAGCTCTAGATAACCTTTAGATTCTTATAAAGTGCTCTTTTATAATTATACTTATAATTAAACTTTATTATAAACTTAAAGCAGTGCTTAACCTACATACTAGGCTAGTTTAAGCTAACCTAGCCTAGATTACACTCTGCGCGCAAAGAATTAGCTATATTAGCTATAGCTATAAGCTTAAGAAAAAATCTATGTGTAATAAGCTTAAGTATATACTTAATAACTACTTTTTTTTTAAGCTTAGTTAGATTTTTTAATTTAAGCTAGTATTCTACTTCTAAAGGCTGTCTAGCGCGTTAATTACTTAGTATTATGTAAAAGACATTATAGATAGCTGTAGTATATTATAAGAAAAGTTTTAAGTCTTATTTAAAAGCTTAAAAAGTAAGCTGTATTTAACATTCTTTAGAAGATTTAATCTAGTGTTGTTGTTAAAGCATTATGTAGATAGGTAGAGTGTAGTAGGGGCTTAGCAAAAGTAGCTAGCTAACCTGTGTGGCCGGCCAACCTGTTAGGTACGTTAAAGAAAAGTTATGCTTAGAATTTTAGAAAAAAAAATCTTATTAATTTCTTAAATTCTTAACAAAGGTGCAAAATTTATATTTTTATAAAGATATTTTTATATTTACTATTATAAGGTGTTTATAATACTTTTTTATACACAGCTTATTTAACTCTCTACAGCTCTCTACACTATGTTAACGCTAGTTAAATTATTTTTAAAACATTAAAGAAAAATTTACAAAGACTATATAAACTACTAAAAAAGTAGTGTATTATATTAGCTGTAATAAAGTAGGCGCCCCGCCTGCTAAGCTAATACTATACAACTTTCTCTACTATACTAAAAGTTACGCACAAGAATACTTAAGCTAAGGATTCTCGCATAATATAATATATATAGGTAATGCTAGGGCTAGCACTAGCACTAGCGGTTGTCTCTAGTCTAGCCTAAACCTCTATAAGCAAGAGAAGGCTACCTAGTTAACTGTGCCTACCTTGTTACACTACCTCCTCTCTTTATTATCTTAGTGTTTGCAGTGGTGACACTCGGATGCGTCGTCACCATAGTCGCACGATAGTCGGATGTGTCGTTACACGATGATCATGCGTCGGCACCATAGTCGTATGCATCTCAGCACAGTCTGTTGCCACGACTCACCTACTTATTTCGCATATATATAGACTCCTGCAAAGGACTCCTCTAGCAATACATTCAATGCAGTTCCTCATGTCTCTGGTGCCTCACATAGCTTCACACTTAGTCTCTAAGACATAAAGCTAAGGATATATATCTACTTTACTTTAATTATAGCCTTTGCTATAATCTAAGCTAGAGTAATTACTAGAACTTACACTCTTAACCTTTAAGTAGCTTAAGTATTATGTAATAAGATAGACGCCCTGCCTGCTAAGCTAGTACTATACAACTTTCCCTACTGTACTAAAAGGTACGCATGAGAATACTTAAGCTAAGTATTCTTACATAGTATAATATATATATAGATAATGCTAGAGCTAGCACTAGCACTAGCAGTTGTCTCTAGTCTAGCCTAAACCTCTATAAGCGAGAGAAGGCCGCGTAGTTAACTGTGCCTACCTTGTTACATTAGCTACAGCGGGTATTAGAGAGGTAGAGGTAGAGTTTATACTGTTAAAGTAGGAGTATGTTAGACTACAGACGTTACTTATTAAGATAGTAAAGAATTTAGAATAGCTTTTAGTTCTACTTTAGTGTTAAGATAAATAAGCTTTAGAATACTACTTAAGCTAATCTAATCTAAATTCTATAAATAGCATGCGAAGATAGTTTTACAAACTACTCTTTTAAAGTAGGTAAGCAACGCGCGTGTAAGAATAACAGGATGCAGGAATTTTAGATGATAAAAAAAAGAGTAACTTAGGTAGATAGTATGTTAGGTGTACGTAAATTCTTATAGAACTATATTCTATAAAGTTATAGAAACCTTATTATTTAATAAGTTAGAGTGTTGTACCCTGCTTGTAACAGTGCTGCTTGTCAAACTCTACTGCTAGTCACATGATCTCACTAAGGGATAAGCGAGCGCGCTAGCGCCTTGGCGCTGCGCAAGCTTTTGTCTCGCGAAAACCCTTCGCCTCCTTCACTCCCCATCCTAGTTTAGCTGAAATAGAGCCGACCTACTCTACCTCGCTTCCCCAGATCCACACAGTAGTAGAGACAGTGCTTGTCACATTAAACTAGGATTAATCCTATTTTAGCCGGAGGACGCCGACATAATATCAGAGTTAAACTAACCGATCAGCCTCAGTGCTTGATTCGCCGACGACCACCTACTAAGCGATCAGCCTAAGCGCTTAATTTGCTGACAATCACTAATTAATCAGCTGCACTACCAGCAACATTAAATTAATACTAGTATAGGGAAACTTTCAAAGCTTAAGATGCGGATAGACTCTACCACTCTACTAACTAGCAAAGAGCACACGCCTAAACCTAGGACACTTAAGAGCAGCAA